AAAGTCTACCTTGCCTTTGAGGCGATAGAGAGCGTTGTTGTCGCGTCATAACTGTTGTAGTGTAGAGCGTTGGGTCAAGTTGGGTGGGGTGGCCGGATGACTGATCTGGCCGGATGACTGATCCTTAACGTTAACTAGTTGGAGTGTTGGTGTGAGTGCATCCTGTTGGACGGGACGAATGCTGGACAATGGAGTAGCGTGACTTGTCTCTCCCATACTGACATACTACTCGTTGGTGTAGGAAGGAAGGCCCATGAATGGCTCCTCCTTGGCTGAGCACGTGGGCGGGTATGGCTCTAGATAACTTGTTTGACAAATGACCACAGTGTGCCCTCCCAAGCCCCTCAACGGTTAGTCAGCGCCTCGGAGTATCTTAACCTGGCTTGGCCCTGACCTTGTGTGTTAGGCCCGAAGAAGCCGTCTCCATGTTGTAAAACAATTAGTCGCAGACACTCGCGACGCGGCCAAGCGTGAGCGGCAGACTGAGGGCGCAAGAACCCACCTGCTGAATTTAGCCTCTGGGCCCGTAAATCCGCCCGATGCGGTCTAGACCGAGCGTCAGTAGTCTTCTCGGCCAAGCTCGCGCCCAAGGGCACCTCAATTTACCGTCCAACCAACCGCTCTCGGCCCCCTCACGCACACACCACACCACACCACCACCACCACCATGTCCGACTTGAGATGCAAACATGTCGCAGACTGAGCGGGGAAACGGGCGCGCCGGGAGTCACAGTCGGGGTGCGGCAATCAAATAAGCGCAAACCGTGGCTACGCGAGCACCGGAGCGCCGCCAAAGCTGGCGCGACGCCTCGTCTTGGTCTCGTCTCATTGGTCTTGTGATTGGATGCTGATGTCATTCACGCCTGGCCCGTGCCCCGACTTTCACATGAAAGAAGGGAGTGTTGCAGCTTTTGCATTGGCACGCACGCAACACGGACAACGGCCCCACGTACGCATATGCAAAGTCCCACGGTGCGCTTCACTTGCCCTAGAAGCTTGCGTAACCAGGGAACAAGTCGTCGAGTTCCGTCCAAATTCCAACCCACTTGCCCCATCGACCGTAAAAGGAGCAGGCGAAAAAACCACCGTCGTCATCCCTCGCTATTGTTCCTATCTCCCGACACGGAAAAAATAATTCAACCTTGTTCTTACTTTGTTTCGGCTTGAGCGACCGACGGCACTTGCCTTGTCCGACTGCTGTGCTGTGCTGTGCTGTCGTGGTATCCAACTGATATTCATTGCCGCTACCCGCTCTCCTCAGCTGGGCTATCCCATCATCTTCCACCCACCACCCCCTCACCCGCTCACCTGACATCCTCGACTCCGCTCTTCAAGCACCACATCCCACTTCACACTTCCACACATTACTACTAGACCACACTGCTCGCGTATTCAGCCGCACTACTCGACCGACCTTCTTCAGCAATGGACGGCATAGAGGCCATGGGTGCACGACGTGCCATGTCGCTCATGTTCACCGTCCCCGAACGCTTCATCAGCTTTGCCCACATGGACCAAAAGACCTTTTTCGAATTATCAGACTGGATCCTGGCCAATGTCGCGTCGCAAATCACTCCGGAAATTAGCGTCGAGGAGTCGCTCTTTGTCTTCCTAGACATTGTCGCGCAGGGAAACAGCTTCAGCGAAGTGGCGTATGGATGGGATCATGACGTCGAGCTGACCCAAGGGTACGTTGCACGCCTTACCTATGCTCTATCACCGTCCACCCTTACTGACTGTCTGCTTGCGTAGTATCTTCCTGAACGTCCTCAATGCCCTGACCGTGCTGCGCGAACGCCGAGAAATTGCCGATTCGTGCCCGCCCTTCACCCAGACCCGTAAGCGATGGGAAGTCGCCCGACGATGGAACCAGAAGCGATCACGACCAAACCCCAGTGGTGTAGTCAGGATAGGCTACGATGAAATGTGCCGAGACGGCCTCGAGGTCGACCAGGAGTGCCTGAAGGAGGCACTGGTTGCCCTCAACAACTTCATCCACGAGAACGCAGATTACGACGAATCATGAACACCAACCGCCTTTTGTCATTCTTCTCTTGTTGTACTTTTCTTATCTTTTTTCTTTTGTTTCCTGCATTCCGTTTGGTGTTGGTTTGGCTTTCGGGTAACGACTTGGGTAGCGCATAGCGTCGGATGGAAGGGTTCAATCCGGTGTTCAGATGGGCTGCGCTTTTTTCCTTTGTTGCTCTCCATTCATATGTACACATACGTACACTCTTCTCTTTCGTAGGTCAAGGAACCACGATCGCTGTCGGCCCGGGTGCTGCTGACGTCCAAATTGAATCTTTACTCCCACATACATCCCCCCCTCTTGGAAATGTCTCATCCACCTCTTCTCTAGTGCACATCTCTACCCCAACGCCACGGCGCCTACGGTCCCCTTAGCCAACACCCCTAGCCTCCCCTTCTTAATCCCCAGACTCTGTTCAATCCTCTCATCCGGCTCCCCTTTCTCCCTCCTCATCAACGCCAATGTAATCACGCCAGCATCCACATACCGCCTTCCTTGGAACCCCCTTCTTCCCACCTCTCTCAGCTCGTCCTCCGCCACCTCAGTGATATGCTGCCGTGACTCAAGCACGCGCAGCACAGGATTATTCCTTGCATCAGGAAACGCCGACTGCGGCGCATCCTGCATCATTGTATCCGACGGAAGATTAGGCGAGGCATTGCGGCGAGGATCAAACTGCGACGTTGACGACAGCGAAAAATGCGGATTCGGTTGTACGGCGCCGAGGCTATTCAGACGGGAGGCAAAGGCTGGGTCGCGAGCATCTTGTAGGACGGCTGTTGAACCGGAGGTGAGAGAGTTAGCTATGTAGCTTTCTATGGAGGGAGGGGGACCAGCAATTGCTTCTCTGTGTCAGTAGAGAAATTGCCGTACCTTCTGTCTTCTCACTTGTGGCCTGCGGCGGAGGATGTACACGGGGTCCAGCTGCAGCATTCTGTGCGGGAGCCGCAGGCGCTGCAGTCGTAGTATTTGGCGGTGGTCTTGAGGGGTATTTACGAGCTGCGGAGCCGGCAGCGGCTTTTGCGCCTTTAGATGCTGAAGCGCCCATTGTTGTTTATCTTTGAGGCCCTGTGGTGGGGATTTGTTTTTGTTGGGAATGAGGGGTAAAATTGCGTGTGGGGATGTTTTGCGGCTATTTGATAGGAGTGAGTGCGAGAGGTATGGGTGGTGATAACGACAGAGCGGGCGCGATAACAGACATGCATTTGTTGGGGGCAACTTTGTCGAAGCTCGGGCCAGGCCGTCATGACGATGATGTATGATGAGAGATTCCATGTGCCAAGTCTGAGGCGGTCGAATCAAAGGGGGGTTCACGGACTGAGAGTATCTTGAATAATACTTATGCAAACCGTTATCCAATGTGAGATATTTTTAGAATTGAATTTGCTAACATAGGAACTTTTTACATGATGCTATTCTACCGTGTGAAGGAGGGCTCAAATCTATGGTAGCTGGCCATCCGCACGGTAATGCCCTGCGACTAAGAACGCCAATTCCAGCGCCTGTTTTTCGTTCAACCTAGGATCGCAGTAGGTTGTGTAGTTCAGGCTCAGATCCTCGTCTACAAGACCCTCACTTCCTCCGGTACACTCGGTAACCGCATCACCAGTCAGTTCAAGATGCATGCCACCCAGGAAGGAGCCGTGCTGCTTATGGATCTTGAGCGCAGACGAAAGCTCAGAGAAGATGCTGTTGAAGGAGCGGGTCTTAATGCCGGTCGGGGTACTGCGAGTGTTGCTGCAGGGAGATTAGCCAATATAGAATATACGATGCATAAACACAACTCACCCGTGCATTGGGTCGCACTGCCAGACAACAACATGTCCACTGCTCTTCACAGCCTCAATATGCGCACCCAGCATCGACTCAACCTTTTCTGCACCGTAGCGGGTAATTAGAGTAATCTTGCCAATCTCTTTATTGGGATTGACAATATTGAGCAGCTCCACTAGCTCATCGTTCTTCATCGACGGCCCGACCTTGATACCAATGGGGTTTTCAATACCTCGGAAGTATTCTACGTGGCCACCGTCAATCTGGCGTGTTCGATCTCCAATCCAGATGAAGTGCGCAGAAGTGTTGTACCACCCCTTTCCATCGTTTGAGGGCTGAGAGGGTGTGTAGCCAGCTGGATGTTTGAGACGTCTTGTGAGGCTCTGTTCGTACTCTAGCACAAGGCCTTCGTGGCTGGTGAAGAGGTCTACTGTTTGTAGTTGGCCAGAAGTATCTGCACCAATGGTCTTCATGAAACGAAGAGAGTCAGATATGCTGTTTACAATCTGCGAGTACTTTGACTGTAGTTCCTCGTCCCGGACATGACCAAGTTCCCAGTCCAATGGGTTGTGCAAGTCAGCGATGCCGCTTGCAAGCTGTGAACGGATGTAATTCAGTGTCGTCGCGGAGTGGAAGTAGGCGCTGACCAGTCTCTCTGGGTCCACTCTCCTAGCCTCTGGATCGTACCCGTTGAGAATGTCGCCACGGAAACTAGGAATTTCCTTGCCATCCAACATCTCAGTAGGGCTTGATCTGGGCTTTGCATACTGTCCTGCAATACGACCAATGCGAATGACGGGCTTGTTTGAACCCCAAATCAGGACCAAACTCATCTGCAAAAGAAGTTTGATCTTGGCGTCGATTGGGTTGTCGGCACAGTAAGAGAACAACTCAGCGCAGTCGCCTCCCTGGAGTAAGAACGATTTACCGAGGGCAGCATCACGCAGACTGGCCTTAAGCCTGGCAATCTCTGTTGGTGTGACAATTGGCGGTAGACTTGATAGCTTCGTCAAAGCAGAAGTCACAGCTGCCTGATCCTCATATGTGACAACCTGCTTGATAGGCTTTGATCTCCACGCTATATCTTGTTAGCATATGTACTTGAAAGGGTAGTATTCGCTCTCACAATCTGGTGACCATCCCTCAGACCCGCCATTCGTCGTTGATCCTTGGTTTGAAATCTCCATGGCCTGTGGCTGATTTTGTGTCCACTATCAAACGTGATGTTGTAGATCTGGCTGCGGAGTGAGTAAACTTCGCAGATCCCACTTATAACTTGCAACCTACGTGGTACCTTGCAGCAAAATTCCACGTACAGTGACTGGAGGAAAGTCAGCTCAAACCACGTTTAATGTTTGAGTCACTTTGATTAGAGCGTTAATATAAGGGAACTCGGCAGGGGTGTCCGTCCCTACCCAGACCGCGGGACACCCGAACAAAGGCGTGCAAAGTCGGCATGACTCAAGAAAACCAAAAATCTGCCACCCAGACGCAGACAAGTAAGTTTCATAACCGGATACAGTAAACTCACCTTGTAGCCCGAAAGCGAAACGTGTCCTAGAGCCCAGCGGCAATGCAAAGCAACAAAGTTCAATATAACTCAAACGTTGTAAAGTTGCAAATCCAGTTCCATATCCCATGTGCGCAAATAAATCCCCTCACCCATCCAATCAGCACGCCCGAATTTTCCGATTGGCCAGCATTTCCATAAATTCACCAGCAATTTACCCCACACCCTCGTCACTCATCCGCGCACCGTCCCCAATGAGCTTCCAGACAGCCCAAACTCCCAATTAACTTCTACACCTTCCATACATCCTTAACACCCAACTACCGCACCCCCCCCAATCGCAATGGCCGAACCCCAACCCCCCACCATCCACGAAGGCGCCTCGACCCCCGCCCTCAACGACGCCGCTTCTACCCCTACTAATGGCGCGAAAAAGGAAGTCGACGGCAAGGCCCTCGATAAAGCGATGAAAGGACTCAGTGTGAAGGATAAGGCGGAGGATGAAAAGAAGAAGAACGTCAAGATTGATGCGGGGGATGTAGTGGTTTTGGTACGTTTGGGTTTCCTTTTACACATACACACACATACACACACACACACGTATGGGATTAGAGGAAGGGAAAAGAGCGAGACCAATATACTAGTACTCTGAATAGTCAGGCTGACAGGAATTCCGAAAACAGGTATCCGAGTTAGAAATTACAAAAGCGAAAGCGACGGAGTTGCTACGAGCGAATGAGGGGGATGCGGTTAAGGCTTTGGTTGCTTTTGTTACTGCGGCGCCTTGAAAGGGTGGGGGTTGAGAAGGGTTAGCAAAGCGCTACATAACGGCGACTGGGTTTGGGGGGTTTGCTAGAGGATATATGGCGCGAAGATGCGCTTTGGCAGGAAAGAGAATACCAACGCTAGCATTGGCTGCGCGACTTGCCGTTGTGAAGGGAACCTCGATAAAAAAGGTACGTGCATGGATGTTTGCAGGATGCCAGGATATAAATGTGCGAGATCCGTATATGTCCGTGTCAAGAGTAGAGGAAGACAGGCTCCATACACTACATGCGCAATCGTAAGATTTACGTCTTCTCGCTAAGCAAATCGATAGATGAAGGAGGCTGGGTATCATATATGATATATTTACCAAATCTATAAAAAGCCTGTGTTGAATCATGTTTCCTTTTCTCCTTCTACTTTTTCCACTCCTCATTATACTGGTAAAAGGCATCTCACTCGTCATCACTGTTGAGAATGACGGGTCTCTTCCTCTTTGTACCAGCACCTGGCCGTGCTCCACCCAAGTTCCCACTCCTCCTCTCACTGACCATCACCGGCGCAACATCAGATGCCCTCTTTCGCGGTCTGCCCGGCCTCCGGCGCCCCACCACACTACCATGCCGTGCAGACCTGCGCACGTTATCGTCTCTATTTTCTTGGCTATCGCCCGTAATGAATTCTTCATCTTCGTCCGTGTCCTCCACGTACTGGCTTGTCGTCGTCTCTTGTGATGTACCAGCTACGGACATTTCGCCATCACTCACTTCAACGTCGATGCCAGTGTCAGAGCCAGTAGACTCGTTTCTACGGAGACTGTCTCGCAGCTTCGACGCTCTCTTCACACCAGGCGTGCCAGTGGCAGTTTTGCGTGCTCGGGATGGCCCTGGTAAAGACTTTGCCTTCGCCAATCTGGCTTCTTCCTCTAGCATCGCCGCCCTCTTAGCCGCTTTTGCGGCTCTAGCCTTTGCGGTAGCTGCCAATATACGTGATCGGTCGCGCTCCACAACTGGCTGGCCAATTTTGCTGCCTGCATCCACTCTCTTCACCTTTTGCTTGGTCTCTTTAACCGCAACAACCTTGCCGTTCGGTTGCTTGAACTGTGCTGTCTTCTCTTTCGGATAATTATAATTGAAGTACAATTCTGTACCCGCCTTAATGTTCGCTGTGGCAAAAAGTGCTATGCGAAAGACAGTGTTGCAGAGAAGATTCCTCGGCGCACAGTTGGTGTACTTGTCGTCAGCATTGTTAATAAAGCGGAGCTTGTTGCCCATATAGGTGGCGTCCACTTCTTGTTCTACGCGCTGATTAGGACTATACTAACAAGACGTAATGGAAAAACTTACTCGAGTTCAGACGAAATAGATACATCGTCTTCTGATAGTCGTAGATGGTAAGTCTGCGGTTGCCTTCATTGACTGAGATGGCTTCGCCAGTGTACTCGCCAATATACTCTCCTTTCTCGATATCCTCGCCCATGTACAGCCCAAATCCATGTACTTCTGAGTGTCCAAGCAAAGTCTTTCGAGGAACACCCCGCTGGATTGCCACGTTGAAACAGTTGCGAGCCACCACGTCTTCATTGTATCGATTGACAGGATCGAGGATCTCAGTTGCGCCACATGAACCACAAAGTTCTGCATCACACTCCCTGTTGAATTTGACACAGAGGCATTTGTCTGAATCACAAACCCGCCTTCCTGGAATGACCAAACAGCCGCAACCGGGGAACCGCCGATTGCATGATTGGGAGCACTTGCAAGTCTTCTCGCAGGTGATACCCTCCCTGTAGCACCGGCATTTTGCATCCTCGCAGCTACCCTCGTGATTGCATGGAAAGAACGGTTTACGCTTTTCCCAGTGCTGCACCAGGTCGCGTTGCAACCACCAGTGTGCATTGAATTTTCCTGGTGGTGGTTTTGCGCCTCTAGACGCAATCATTTCTGATTCGGGATAGACATTGAATGCGTCGGGGTTTGCTGGTAGCTTGTAGTTGATCACTTTCTCAATGTCTGTATCGTCGTCGAAATGGGCAGGCAAGGGACCTGAGTCTTCGTCGAGTGTGCTTCCTGAGCCACGGCGGCTACTCTGAAACTCGTCCTCGTCCTCGTCTGACTCAGTCATCCACGAATCTTCGGGAACTTGCCTTAACTCGCCATGGAGGAGACAATTGTGCCTGGAAATGTCATCAATATGCCAATACAGCACATCATAGATATGCACTTACTGGTGACACACCCTGCACCAAATCTGTCTATATGAAGATTGGACAGGATTTTTCCCGCTTAAAGTCTTTCTCATAATGTTGTTCTGGACAACATCAGACTGTTGGGCCAGATACCAAATGCTGAATTCGCATTCTTGTAGCACAGCAGAGCAAGCTGTAGCTGCTAGCCTCAGGGTTGTTGCAGAAGGTCTCTCGAGTTGTGCGATAAAGTCTTGCCATTTCTCATCGTCACGGTCGAATAATATTGTTTCCTTGACCCCCTCGTCTCGCTCAAACTCCTCAATACTATACTGCGATCTGTCAAGCAATATTGGTGAGAAATTCTCACTTCCAGACATGCCAGCATTGATATGCTTGATAACATCACCGGGTGCTAGCAACCAGTATAGGACTTCGTTCCAAGTCACACCAATCTCGCTCAGGAAAGCTTCGATTGCAGTTTTGTAGAACCGACACTGCTCTTTCCGCAGATCAATTGGTCCCTTCTCGTCGTGTGTTAATTCGTATATAAACGGAAGCGCATCCAAAAGAGCCCGCCGACTTTCGTAATCTTCATCTTCAAAATATGGTGTCGCGAGCAACTTTGACTCGTTGTCAGCCAGAATATTGTTTCTCAAGCTAACATATTCCTTGAAAGGAGGTATGACGACAGCTTCCGACCGGAACTTTGTTGTATGTGCAGATAATCCGGACCGAAATACTGTATCTTTTGGTTTGGCTTTTGCAAAGACCTCTTGCGCCATGTCAGGGAGACCTTTAGAGGCCCAGCTTCGATCAAACGGCATTTGTACGACAGGTATATCTGCAAAGGGAGAAGTGTGTTGAATGAATTCCTCTGGAAAAGTCTTCTGGGTGAGAAACTTCTGTTTGCGGCGGGCGCGGAGGTCTCGTTCTTGACACGTCCTCTGATGGCGCAGCTTAATCCAAGTCAACTTCGCATGCGCTTCGTTCCGCTCAGCAATATGTCGTTTTAGGCATTCATCTATTGCTGACCGTGTTGCAGCGAGGTCGTGCAAGTGACTTGACCAAACGCTATGGATATTAGGAGTCACATCCTTCACAGGTGGTGTGGCTTTGCGGAAAGACACCTCAACCGGTGTTGTGTTTGCCGTGTTGGGTGCTGTCTCACTAAATGTCCGTAGAAGCGCTGCAGGATTATATCCATGGTGCTCTTGGAAATCTGGATGATCGTGAGGAACAGACTCAGCTTTTTCTTGAGGGCTCAAAGGCAGTGGATCTAGTCTGGCATCGCGGCCTTTTGGCCTTTCCGTTAGACTAACTTCAAGATTGGAAATGGTGTTATTCTGAGATAGGGGCCCTTGAAATGGTGCAGGGCTCACGGCTCGAGGTTCTGCATTGGTCGACTCTCTGTGAACTTGGACTTCATCTTGCAATGCGTATGGCGATTTGTGATGATATTCTGTCAATCTGTGATTGTTTGTTGATTTGTGACTGCTTGTCAAATGTTGCGGCGCTCTGATTTGGACGTAGTTCTTTTGCCTCACCGACTTGATCGCTTTTTGTTTCGGTTGAACCAAAGTGACACTACCGGAGAAATCAGCCATACGGGCTTTTGCAGCCATAGGAAACGGCGATTCGAGTTTGTTGGCATGCGCTGCCGCGGTTGCGCGCTCAGAGGTGTTTACGCGACGGCAAGTGGCCCGTTCGCGCTGGTGGTCGGGGAGATCCCCGATTGGTTGCGAGAATGAAGGTACTGTGTCATTTGTTGCCACGGGTTTGTGCGACGGGTATGGGTATTGTGGTTTGTCTGCAGTAGATATGGAGAAGCCAGTGTCGTGGTTCAGTATTGCACCGATGGGAATAGCTGGCACAGACCTGACTGGAGATGTCTGCGATAGGAAGCTACTGGGTTGTGTAGTCTCCAGTGGAGGGCGTGAGGTTGACAGCTGTGGGATGACCGTATCCGTGTACTGTTCAGGACGCTGAGCTGACGATAGACACACGTCGAGAATTGATTGGTTTAGTAGCTCCGCGCCTGTAAGTTGCTGCGTCACTCTGGGGCGGACTGGTTCGTCTTCATCGGTCAGCAGATCGATAATAGTGATGGGTTTGACTGATGGCGGCCGTTTCAGTGGTGGTTCTGTAATGCTTCTCTGTCCAACTTGTTGATGGCCCCTTAGTAGCTGGTTGATAGACTGTTTCTGTTTCACCCTTGCTCTTTGTGCGACGGCTTGTTCCCAGGCAGTTTGATGCTCCACCTCTTCAATATCACCCTGTTCCAGCGTCTGCGTATTGAACCGTCTTACAGGTGGTACTGGTACAGGCGCATGCAGATACCTGGGGTTTTCATCATCATTTTCCTCAAAAGTGATGGGCGCGTCGAGGGAGTCGCCGCGTGCCATTGCGGTGAGCCGGGTCTGGATGAAAGGAGAATCCACACTCAAATCAGCACGAGCGAAGAGTGGTGAGACCGAAAGATTGCAAGAGACATGGCCACTCGGGAGGAGCCATTAAAGTCTCCAGCTCAACGTGTTACTGTGAGCATAGTCAGGTCGTAATGTTTGTCTGACCCGGCATCGTCCGTCGCGCTAATCTGTACTGAAGTCACGTCGTCACGTGGCTTGCACAATCCCTGCAATTACTCCACCTCGGTCCCTTCAACCAAAGGCACCGTAATACAAGTGCAGTCAAGCATTCACTTAATCACGGTGAAAGACCAAAAGAAAAAATATAAATTATGTGTGTTTCATTAGCGAGAGGCTCCTTGCAGATACCTGGCTCGAAGATAAACTAGAAAGTGATGATTGGATCATCTGAGTTACAAAAAAGCCCAGTCCGCCTCAAAAACCTCCGATTTCAAGCATTTCTGCTACCCTACAAATAGGGACCCGTTCTTACTCCTGTACGAATGCAGTCCAGCACGGCTACTTCAGAGCGATTACTCACAAATCATGTCACGCAGCATTGAAGAAATTCCGCGTAAAAGGAAATCGCAAGCTGCCCCAAATCCCTACCAACAATCTACCACAATTACAAAACGGTATCACCATTGCTTCATCACCTAAAATCTATCCCAGGAAGTTTTGCTGTTGCTGCTGTCCGGGCCGTGGAAAGACGCTTGTTGTCGGTACTTGATCAAGGTTGATCCCTCCTAATGTCCCTTGACTACCTGCATTCTGCCAGCCCTGGCCTGTCTGCTGATTTACAAAGGCACTCTGTCGGAAAGGATTGGTGCTACCCGTTGCGTGCACAGTGAGTCCACCCTGTGGAGAGAGGGTGCTTTGTGGCGATGGTTGTCGTGCGAATGGATTCGTGCCAGTAGGCGTAGGCTGTAGAGGCTGGGGTTGTTGTTGTGGCTGCTGTTGCAGAGCAAATGGTGACTCTTGCACAGAAGTCATGGAAAAGGGCGGAGAATTGACCGGCGACTGCGATTGTGCCGAAAGTCCAGTATTATGTTTTGCAAACGGATTCGTTGATGCGCGGTTGAGTGAGCTGGCACCAGTCGGACTGCTGGGTAGCATCGATTGGCGGAATGGGTTTGTTGAGGTCTGCTGAGGCTGCAGAGGTTGCAGAGGCTCGGCAATGGTAGGAACCTGCATCTGCTGTGGTGGTTGCTGTTGTAAGAAATCAGGCATGCCGTTCTGTGGTATTGATGGCATAGTATTCTGTGTGCTGAAAGGTTGTGGCGAGTAGCCGCCAAAGCCTGCACCGGTAAACTGGGCCTGGAGTTGGGGCACTTGGGGCTGTTGGCCTAGTTGGAAGGGATTCGTGCCCTGACCATTTTGCATTGTGAAAGGCTGTGGTTGTTGGGGAAAGCCCATGTTTGCTGTCTGCTGTGGAACCTGGAAGCCTGTTTGCTGGGGATACTGCTGCATCATCGGCTGCGTAGCCATGGTTTGTTGGTTATCCTCGAGTGACTCAAACAGATCAATCAAAGGTGCGTTTGCAGAGGGCTTGGTCGGAGCTGCCGCTGGCTGCTGGCTAGTAGTCGTGCTAGAGGCCGACTTTGATTCCGTAGACTTGCTCGCCCCATTGGTGGACTTGCCCCCATTCTTTTTCGCCTCCTTCTCGGCAATGTACTGTCGTCGATTGATCTCAAAATCCTTATCGGCCAGGTACTCTTCCAACGATGCAGCCAGACTGGTCGGGGCATGCTTGATTCGTGGAATCTCTAATCGTGTTGAGTGTTCATGTGATCTTGCGAGGCTAAGGTACTGGACAACGGCTTCGGTTTGCTTGACGAAAGTGCGGTAGACTGCGAGGGCGCGTGTTGCGTCGGGTTTTGATAGTTCGAAGTAGTGTTCTGGTTCGTTAGTACGGCGAAACTCGAGTACACATGCTCAACCCACCAAGAATATTGATAGTGCCCTCGTTCATGACGTGGAAGAGCACTAATAAGTCCATTGTGAGTAGTCGGAAGGCGGTCAGCGTGATTTCGTTTTCGGGCTCGTCATCGAATGGCTGTTGGGGTCAAAGTCAGCGCAGGTGTTCCTGTTGCTAATAAAGGACATCCTCATACCTGGCACTTGAGCAGCGCTCTGATCTGGTCCTGCACGCTCTCTGCTTCACGTAGGAGGCCCTTCTCTATGGTCAGGCGCTTGAGGCGGCCCTCACCGCCACGCACATAGTCGACCTTGGTGGAGCCATACTCGATGGCGCGGCGGAGCAGGTATTCGGAATAGGTGCGGATATTGTGTCCCTGGGTCTGCACTGTTGGGCGCAATGTCAGCGGTTGAATCCTGTCAACTAACACAAGCCCGACCAGCGGATTCGCTGTCAGAGCACTGTGGCGTACATGTCTCGAGACGTACCCTCTGTGAAGTGATTGATGGCCAGTTTCCGGTGGGGATTCTGGGCCAGGAACTTGAGCGTAACCTCGGGCTCGCCCTCCCTTATCATCAAATGGACAATGATAAGGCTTTTGAAGACAATGGTCCATGTCGAGTCGCGCAGACGGTTGGTGAGGGCGCGGAAGATTTCAGCGACGCCTGCTTCGCCGGCGTGTGTCGCAACGAGGATGTGTTCGACATATTTTGATTTCGGTGCTGCGAGCTGGCAGGTGTGTTAGTCCGTGGCAATGGCGATAGTAGCGGCAATGAGCCGGCTGCGACTCGGTGCAGAGGCAGCGCATACTTGCCTTGATCTTGGTGCCGCCCTTGACGCTCTTCTCAAAGGAGCTGGCCATGGGTTGCTAGGAATACTGCCGCGCCGGGCAGATGGGTGCCCGACTGGGCCGCTGGCAAGACGCTCCGGTGGTCGTCCGGGTCCAGATGAAGATGGTCGCGTTGCACTATCGCAATGGCTCTGCTGGTTCTAGGGCAGCATTACGGCGCGGAGGCAGGGTGGAAGAGATGTTGGCTGGACAGGAGGGACGTGGGCTATGGATAGAGGAGAGGGTGAGGTGAGGCCTGTAGGTCGCAGCACCGCGGTCGATGGCCGTTATTAGAGCTGGCCGGGGTGGAGGAGCGAGGCAGGGCGCATGGTGGAGCTTGCTCAGGTCCCTTGGGCGATGACGCTCCCTGTCCCTTCTTGGTTGCGCCCACCGCCCTCAGGGTCCCGCCTGTCCTCCCCCTCCCCCTCCAAACACGAAACGAAACTTTTTTCTCGACACACCGCATACACACAGCCGGACAGCCACACCACAAAATGTCTGCTTCACCGCCCCCCGAGGAACGTGAAAAGGCCGACGCCGATGCCCGCGCAAAGGAGCAGGCCGAGCAGGCCGCTTTGCCGTACAAGTGGGACCAGACCATCAAGGACCTTGACATCACCATCACCATTGATGCCAAGTACAAAGGCAAGGACCTCGACATCAACATTGGCCGCAACTCCATCAAGGCCGGCATCAAGGGCGAGACACCCATCCTGCACGGCGACCTCCCCCACCCCATCCGCGTCGACGACTCCACCTGGACACTAGCCTCGACCGGCTCCGCAAAAGAAATCTCAATCCATCTCGACAAAGTCAACCAGCTCGAGTGGTGGCCCCATGTTGTCACCACTGCCCCCAAGATCGACACCTCCAAGATCCAGCCTGAGAACAGCAAGCTGGGCGACCTCGACGGAGAGACGCGGGGCATGGTCGAGAAGATGATGTACGACCAGAGGCAAAAGGAACAAGGCAAGCCCACCAGCGACGAGCAGAAAAAGGCCGACATCTTGAAGAAATTTCAAGAGCAGCATCCCGAGATGGACTTTTCAAATGCCAAAATCGGCTGATGAGATACACAACGATGTGCACTCCAGCCACGTGACGAAGAATACACTCATGGACGTGATAAGATGAGCCAGCGGAGGAACGACAAGGCCACACCGGGCCGTACGCGTGGAAGGCATTTGGCGATCGGCGATATCCGGATTGCCGGCAAGGATGTGCTGACACGAACACACTAAAATACACTATACGAGATTGGACGGCTGTAAACACGGTTTCATTGAGCATCCGATCCTAGTCGATTATGTGAGATAGAATTCAAATTCTAGGGTGATTACGAAAAAGGGACTTTTTGAGATTGCGTTCTCAGTGCAATGCTGGAAAGCGCAAACCATAGAACACCGTGCGCCAAACAACTGGGGGTATTATGCCATCAAGCTCAGGGATCAAACTAAGACGCCCAAAGTGACAGGAAGCAAGAAACCGAAATACACAACGATAGTCCAAGACCACCGGACTAACAATCTCTTGAAGCGAATTTACAGTGAAAGAAAACAAACGCTCAAAAGATGGAGCGGTGACCTGCTGGCACAACACAACGAAGAGCTTCCCACTACTAGTATGCCAAGGCGCTGCAACGATATAGAGAAACATAACCGCATCATCTCGATATCAGTTTGCTACATCGATCATCATCTTTCACATGACCGTTTTTCGGCGACTTGATCTGGCATGCCCGCATATCGTGCCTGAAGATATCGCCCATCTCAACATCCACGGCCGACTCCCGTGTCACCTGCGAACTCGTCATCTCTTTGACACTCAACTCTCTCCACGGTTGATATTGCGCATACCTGCCTGTGATCTTTTCAACTACCATGCCCCACGCACGCCTGCACTCTGCTCTTGTAGTGAAAATATAGATGATTGCGTTCCAGGCACCTTGAAGCGGCAGCACCGTCGCGGAAAGAATATTCAGAGCAAAACTGGGCCGGTCTTTGTGAGTGAATTGGTACATGCGGTTTATACTGCTGGGCAGCCAGACAACGAATAGTGCTAAGAACATTAGGAAGGCAACGTAGAAGTATGCCATTGCTGCGGCATGGCCCTCTGGTGTTCTTTTAGCTGCAGGAAGGGGTTTTGACATCGCTGTTGGTGGTCTGTTCATAGGTCTCAGAGGCGGGCTTGTAGTGATTATCGTTGCTATGTAGTTATTTCGTGATGGCGGGGGGTGGTGGAAGTTGAGTTGCGCTTCCACGTCCTCGAGTAGCAGTCTGGAAATCCGGGTCTGAGAAGCATCGTGGAGCGGTCTTGAAACCAGCTCATCAGGTCCACGGATTCTGGAAAGTCTCTGCGTGCTTGAGAAGGAGTTGATCGAAATGCAATCTGGGTCCGGAGAGACGCTCCTGAACATATCACCTTGCTGCTGGATATCACACTCAATTTGTGTCGTCACGACGATGTTGTTCCTTCCCGACGAAATATCTCCAACGTTTTCTCTTTCATCGCTCACATCCCGTACTGTTACGAATTGATTTGAGTCCCGAGAAAAGAATCGCAATTCGACTTGCTTCTGCCAAATTCGGTACCCCGTCACACTGTAAATGGTGACAGCCGCCAAAATCGTGACCCTTCAGAGCTCTTATCAGCAACGTACAAGAAAGCATCTAAGAAAGGACAAGAACCCACCACGCAGGAACATAGAAGAATGCTATGCGCATCCACTCGACATCAAAAGATACCCAGCACCATAGCGTCGCAGAACCTATAATGGGATGGCCAGTTCGGCTAAGCACGACATAAGCTATAACCGGTATACATGGAACACCATAGCTAAAAGCAAAATACCATTTCTCCAGATGGCGCAACTGCTGTGCGTCATAGCCGTAAAAGAAGACGAGGAAGACGTTTGTGGCCATGCAAAGAACCCAGAAGGAGTCGGCGACCATGAACCATTGGATAAGAAGGCCTTGGAATTCACACAGGCCAGATGCAGGTTCACCCGGTGCTGGCAACACCGAGTTCGACATTAGTGTTGCGACATTTGTGAGAATATTGCCTAGCGTGGCGAAGAAGACTAGGCGGTTGATTGCTGGTAGAGCGAGTCAGTTCATCGTATCAGAAAGACTGGTCGCTCGACTCACGTTTTCGGAAAAAGGGAAAGGCGATGAATGTGCTGACAATGATACTAGATCCCACGACCGAGAGTATCGATGATATTCGTGTGGCAACCACAAAGGCGAGGGCTTTGTTGTATGGGAGTTTGGCGGCCATGTCTGAGGGATGGAAAAGAGAGCGTATGTGTAGGGCCTTGGTGAAAACGGTTGTGGTATTTCGAGACAATTGTTATACCATCCATTCAACAGTGCGCAATGGGCGACTGGTACACCACAAAGACATTGATGAGACTCTCAAAAGTGCGAAAGATACGAACGTATGGTCCTGGGACCTACCCGCTGTGCAAAGGCTTAGATCTCGTCCCCCCGAAGGGATGACTATGAGCATCGCAAGTGTACTGCCAAGCTACTCTGGACAAAGGCAAGATTCAAGAACGCGTCAACTTACATTTTTTAAAAGAAAAAAACGTTTTGAGACGTGGGGCGTACTCCAGCTCTACCAAAGTTGCAGTGGCTCTTTACAATAAACGGTATTGTGCCACGAAGATGGCTCAGCAACGAGGATACAGGATTTGTCCCCTCCCCTTCTCTCACATGAGCACGACGTCGGACAAGTGACCTGAAACCGAGTTTACGAGGAAAGCAGGAAATGCAAAGACGGAAACAGTCAGCCTGATTTCGGGTAATGGCATGCTGACGAATAGAATGAGAGAGGTAATGCTGGCTTAACGGCTCGAGGTGTGCTCTACCACCCCTGTATCACGAAGGACCGTATTAGCTTGACTGGCTGTTTTCAGCATCATTCGCATTCACACTCAAAAAGCATCATTACTGCCACTATAGTAGCTGCTATCATGTGCACTAACCTTCGCTCATCCACCTAGGACACCCAGAAAAAAACCCAGCCCACGTAGTAATAGTAACCATACCCTAGTGTCCACAATCGTCAACCCCATCTCTCCTTTCTACCTCCCAACGTATAGACCCCCTCCAGCAACATGGCGCTGCACCATTTCTTGAAGCTGAACTCACCCACCAATCAATCCATCTACACACCAACAATGCCAAGGGCAGTTCAGCCGTTGCCTCAGAAAAACGGCCATCGCCAAGACCAGCCCGATCACACCCTCCCCGCAACTCCTACCTTCAATGCCAATTGGCCGGGCCGCCCCTCCGTCCATCCGTGACTTGCGCAAACCACCGCGCCACAATTCATCAAAGAGAGTGGTAGGAATGCCCTTGCGGCGCCATGGCTTAACGGGCTGTGTCAGACGATGTTTTCTTGTCTTAGAGGGAGAAAGGAGGGATCGAAACGCCACAATGATATCTGCTTGCATTCACGAGATGGCAGAAAGAAAATGGGCTAGGGGGTGCTACGAACTGTACTCTTTTCGAGGTAAGGACTCGGGCCATACGGTGACATGGTAGCACAGACGTTTACTGGTCAGCATGGCGCAAGAAAGCTGAGATAGTTCGCTGTACCCGGGTACAGGTGCGATCGGTGTGGGTTGTGCCAAGTTGGCAATGCCCGGTTACTGGGTCACACAATACGTATATGGCGCTGCATGCGTACAACGGTGTTGGAACTTTCGCGTGGCGTGGCGGTGCTGAAGGCAGGTATACGGGTCGGGACTGGCCTAGCACGGAGCATATCACCGGGGAGTAACTCGCTTGGAGTGAGGATGGTTGGAGAGAACAATGGAAAGTGATGCAAACCTATTCTCTGGGACGCAGTTGAGTAACTAGTAGTATTCCTTCAAGTCATTTGACTGGTTTTCGTAAAAAAAAAAGCCTGACCACTTTGAAGACTGTAGCATCAGGCTGCTTGAGATGAATTACTCTGGTACTGATGACCACACTGAATATTCCATACAATTGTGGGGAGGGGCGTGGCAACAGTGAAGGGGCTGAACTCAATCGACCCTTGCATACTGAACGCATTCCCTGAATAGCTAACGTATTGCAAGGGCTTACGCTTTCGGGATTGGCGTAGTATTTGGAACGTACATGCAAATCTTGGGACCACAACTGTTCGATGAAAGACGATCAGCAATTGTTACACTGGCTTGCAGAATCGGCTTCTGGTATCTACACCTCGCGCTCTTTCTTACAGCAGGGGGTTGCCCTCGCTTTGCAGGAGCTATAACTTCCATACGTTAAACTAACTGAAGGCAACTAGATCCTACTAGTATCTAATATTATATTCCTTCGTCGCTAGAGAAGCTTATAAAGTCTATAGCTAGTGCAGGTTGGCTATCCTCCCTGCTAACGTTGCTAGAGGAGTTGATTAGTTTAACGATGCTGGAGTAGCGAATCATTCACGCGCACATGGTTCTAAAAGTAGCTAGTATTCTACCCGTGATAGGTCAGAAAAGGAATAAACGGCGGGTCTGCGGAGATAAGCTGTTGACGTATCTATTGCTGGCTAAAGAGAGGCGGCCGCGTGACGCTTATACTGAATTGTCGTATTATATAGTTAGTTAAACTTATTCCTATAAAACATCACGAGAGGATAGAATTTATAGCACAAGGCCCCTATTTTGGGAATTCATATTCTTGCAATTTGCTATAGAGTTTGTTATGTTGGGGCGTGTCTGTGGTGTCTCGTCACGCAATATGCCTCGATACGCAGTAACCGACGTTATATTGTGTATTGCATTTTACCCCAAACGAGGCAGGACCATTTTAGTTACACGTATGTGCTATAATTTTTAACATAGAAGTGATCTCTTTTACTCCCCCGACAATTTTGTTTCATATGGATACCTCATGCGGTTCCGACCTGGTCGTTGATGTCACTCTACTTAGTCCCCGTATTTATGGTTGCAGCAGACAAAGTCGTCTCCACCTGGGCAAACAGGATCTGTACAAATATTAGAAAACGCATCATATCTAGAGTTGCCAAAATCAAACGACTTACCGGGGTTGACCGACTGACAGCCGTCTCTCCACAGGCATTGAGTGTCAGAGCCATGGCCCGGGCAGTCAGGGATGACGCATCCCACGATGTTTTCAGGATCTGAAGGGCAAGGCCAATTGCCAGAAGTTCCGGTGTAAGGAGTACCACCCCATGTATAGCTACACTCATCAGAATCGAGGCAAATGCACTCAGCGCCCCAGTTGTTTGAACAACGGCCACCAACGGCCGCTAGGGTCGGAGCTGCGCTGAGCAGGAGTGTAAGAGTAGCACTGATGAGCTTCATGTTGAGAGTAGAATGGTAAGTTGATCTGCTTTGAAATGGATTCTGCGCGTCAGACAAGGAGCCCTCTGTGTTTATATAGACACAGCATCGACTGTATCTACTATAGGACTTCTGCACGACGCTGTCACTGAATGCGGATCCATCCTCTATCAGACACTGATTGATAATAGTTACTTCTATTTCACTTCAATTTTGGTACAGCTAATGTTTATCTGGTTTGCTATCAGCTGAAGTCTCTTCAGCTGATGAACAAAAAACTTCAGCTGAAGTCTTCTCAGCGGAGGCCATTTGGCCTTGTGTGGTACCCCAACGTTACTGGCGACCTGTCGAATGTGTCAAGGTGGGTCATACCAAACTAATCTAGCTTAACGGTTCTCATGTCTGGCTAACAAGAAGTCGGTCTAGTAGTTATGCATGTTCACACTTGTTATAGCTTGATTATTAGCTTAGGATTTAACCCAACATCACTCGTCCAAGTTGACCCATGAGCGGCTGTCGGCTCCTCAGTTGAACTGTTTGTAGCTAGCTTGGTATTTTCTCTACGTAACCCTTCGTATTCAAATTCTTATATCTTAGAAGTAGGCTCTAAGTTAGATCTTAGGCATTAACTTCTGTGGCACCGCTGCAGCTAAAAGGGCGCACAGGAAGTGGATGACATCATAGTTCACGATGGAGAAAGCTAGCGATGTAAGAAACAGTGAGCATTATACATATGGTCCCTTGGTTGATTCTGCTGCCTTCAATATATCCCAAACCCTCAAAACACGGATCTCTACGTAGCAGCCACCACCGCATCCGTAGTCTTCCCCACATCGCTCTTCACAGGCTCAGCTTCCCTCCTCTGCTTCCCAGAAATCAAATACACATTCGCCCTAACCTCCAACAACGGATCCTCACTCGGCTCCACACCTTGAACCCGCGGAATAGGATCAAAAATAACATTCCGCTGCTTCTCTAAACTCTCATCCTCTCCTAGCGTCTTCTCAATCGTAATCGTACCCAGCTCAACCACTTTCCGTTCTTCAGGCCAAATCTGCGTCGCGTCATCCGTGACATCGCCCTCCTCCGCAATCTGTGCAAGCAGCTTAAACTCAATCGGAGCTTTCTCAAGACGCGGTGTCAATTCGTCGAAAAGGTAAGTATCAGATTTGCTTTTGAGCGCTTCGACATCAACATGCTGCTCGCCCGCGATAGGTACAATGCGATATCGCAGCGTGGTAACTTTATCTTCCTTCACAAATTTGAACGCATTTACCCCAAAAAACTTTTCCGTAGCAAAGCTCTCGGGACTGGGCTTGGGGTCCTGTAGGAATCGCGCAGTTTCAGGATGGCGAGATAGAAACTCGGGGACGGCTTCGGCGGCATTGCTGCTTGTTGCTGCTTTGAGGAATTCGAGGAATTCGGCTCCCGTACGTGTGGGGAAGTATTTTGTGGAATGGGCGATTATGTCTGTATGCTGCCGTTTGCCGTTTTTCTCCGGGAGGTGGAATCGGATTGCGATTCCGCGTGGGTTGGCGTTGGCGTCTGTGTCGGGGATTTGGGGGAAGCCAGTCGAGGAGGAGAAGCGGACGGTGATTGGTGTGGATGCAGCATTGAAATGCGGGGCTGAAGTCAGCTCGGCGGCTGAGGAGGTAGGTTTGAAGGTTCCGGTTAGGAGATGGCCTTTTGCGTGGGCTGAGTTTGGGGGGGTAGGTGTTAGTGAACTGGAAGGGTTATGCAAGGTGAGAATGACGAACCTGGTCGAAAGCTCTTTGCTGCATCGCCAGCTATACCGCGAAGTGTGCTCACGAGACCATTGCTAGTCTCTAGCACCTGAGTATCGGTTGAAAGTGGCATGCTAGAATATCTCCAAACTTGAATTTATCGATCAATCGAGTGCAAGCTGAGGACTGTATTTCTGAAAGTAAGAGTTGATTGCCATTCCCTGCGATCCATCTTGCAAGACTATATACGCAGCGCACCTCTTACAAGAGGCACCACTATTTGTCACAAACGCCATGGGAACCCCTCAATTCGGTGATTCATAAACATGTTCAACATGTCGTCTTATCGATCCAGCATACACAAGCTACAACTTGGGTCCGCTAGTCTAATGCGTGTGTTTTCATTGGCTAATAAGGTCCTACAGGAGTGCTGACTGCATGCTTACTTGCAGCTCCATGTGGCTGTAGCACGAATATTTACAAATACGTCTGGAGTGCTTGTTGGATTCGTTCTAGAATGGCGTTTACTAAGTTGGCTTAATCATCTACTAGGCCGCTGTGAGGTTAGTACAAGGCGCATTTGGTTTCCTCTGGCCATTTGTACGTCAATGGCGTATTCGTCATTCACTGACTTCCTTAGTTTTGCATATATCGCACTACATATCGAGTTGAGGTATACCGTCATGTTGGAAAGGGGCTTGGGACTGTCCTGGTGCTTTTGTCATTTTCGAGACATCCATTTCTCCTGCTCTTCTCAGGAGCATATCACCTGGTTACACAACTTCATTATTGCTGTTCGTATCCATGAGAAGATTACTGCTCAGACTTTTGGGAAACGTGAACAATCGAGTGTAGTAGTTATTAATGCACTACTATAGCCAGATAAGTTAGCCAAGCAACTCAGATCAACACAGTGTGCTTCTCTAGCCTCCACCTACTACACCTTCCAATTATAGGTCTTTTTTCATGTCGTAGTGCCATAGCCATGTCTTTGAGGTATGCACTACGATGCCTTCCAAGGCACTACTTATCGTTAACACAGCAGAGGTAACAGTGGCAGTCACAAGTCCCTTGAGGATTCTTCTATGGTGAATCAAACAACATATCATCACCATTACACTACTCTAATGTCAGCCATATTCCATAGTGTATGCCGTTTAGATAGGCTGTCTTCTTGACCTGCCTCTGCGTATATCCTTCGGCATCCAGCGATATCGTCTTGGAAGCAGTCTCCAAGGGGATTCTTTGTTCTCTTTTAGCATACATAACCCCTGATGGGGCACATCAATAGATATATGTACCCCTTTGCTAAGATCCACAGGCTCGCAAATAGGATTAATTATACCAAAAGTGGCAGATGCAAATCTTGCAAAGAGCAATATAACGGAGATAAATTTGAGAACTTAGTATCGTATAGTAGTGACTATTGGGAAAACTTTTGTGGGTGTGCGTAAGGTGAATGGTAAGACCCGAAATTGAACGAATACTCAAAAAGATTTTTATGGGTCTAAATGGAATTTTATATAACCGGGCTTATATCCGTTGCTCCCACGGGCTAAAATATGCAATCCCGGTGAATCCAGTGACTTAGTACTAAGTATTTTGACGAAAGTATATAATATTGAAAGCGACTCATCTGTGTGCTTCGCGTGTTAAAGAATGGTGAGTGGCCCTGGATTGCAAAAGTAAACACGCATATTCATATGGTATTGAAAAAAATCCGGGTTGAGTTGGTAGGTGTCTTTTTCTTGCAGAATGCAAGGACATGTAATTCGTTGTTCAAGATATCACGATACTGATGGCCGTGTAACACAGGAAGCGAGCGTTCCTCACAAGGATGGCACGTTGTAAGAGATCATTTATACGAATATGGTTACAAATCGAAATGATCTGACTAAGTTAGCTCGTCATTCCGGTCCATTGAGCTTGGATTCCTACTTTCATCATAGGCTACTTATGTACCGGGAAGTTCGATGCGTGGCTTACTAAGAATAACATGAACAATGTCTCCAAATATATCGTCTCAATATGAAATAACTTTCAGAGTTCAGAGAGGATATCTTTAGTACCATCCAGAATCTTGTCTACACACGGCTGGGTCAGAACGTCAGTGCTCTACTTATTAAATGTAGAACATTAATAAAAGCATACGCGTTTAGAAGATCGATGACAGATATACATAATTCACTTGAAAAACAGTCTTACACTCTATTTCCCACATACCGAACAACCGTCAGAAGATATCGAGGTGTGAGCCTGCGGAAAAAGGAATCATTACCTTCAAACATGACTCTTGTATTACAGAACATGGGTCTTAGAAATTCTTCCGCTGAATTCATTTGCAGTGACGATGAAATGAACATTGTAAATCCCACTCTCGGATATAAAATCTAAAAATTACTAAAACCTATCATTGGAAAAAAAAGCCCAACAACTCCACATTCACCCAACAACCTCATCCCTCTCCGCCAACGCCCCATCCATCCCTGCCTTCCTCGGCACAAGTATACTCCTCAAAATACAAAGCTTCCCATTCTCAGGACAAATCTTCTCGCGATTCAACTGCTTATCCGCGGGCCCCGTCGGCCCTCCCGAAAACTTGGCTTGGCCAAAAAGCTTAAACTGCCTCTTATCGCTCTCAGGATACTCCTGGTCACCCCACTTGCCCTTGAAATTCAGCCACGCGGTCGGCGCCTGGCCGTCATACGCTTCGAACTTGTTGGTGCTAGGCGTAAACTTGTAGTACCAGGCGCTGAGCAGCGGGTCCCAGACGGTGCCTCTGTTGGTGTAGTCTTCGAGGACGCCGCCGGGGAGGTTGAGGTTTGGGATCGTGTGGTCATGGGTGCCGCCCATGGCGTAGTTTGCGTGGGAGCCTTTGGCGGAGTAGGCGATGGGGCGGATGCCGGTAGTGTCGCGTTCGACGGCTGAGTAGCGGAAGGCTTGGCCGTTGGCGTGCTGCGAGAACCAGATTGCGGTGGGTTGGCCGTTGGAGAAGCGTACCATGGTGTGCTCCCAGTCGCCGACGTGGTTGCCTGAGTGGTGTGTGTCAGTAATGTGGTACTTATTGGGGGTTATGGTGGACTTGGTTGGTGAGATAGGAATGCTGCTTACCAAAGTTTAGTTGCTTCCATCCTAGTACCTCTCCACCGTAATTGTAGGCGTAAAAGTACATATAGAAGGCGTCTACACTTCCATTGCCCTTGTCGTTGACGATGATGGCTGCCGTTGTTGCACCCTCAGTTTTACCACTCGCGTTAGGTTTTGTGCCCTTGATCCATGTAGGATCTGTAGTCACATCGTCATTGGAAGTAAGCCAAACATTGTTGGCCATTTGATCCAAGTTTGAGGTTGTTAGGGGCCTGGAAGGACCAGGGACTTCATTGAAGTCTACGCGAGGGGTAGTATGGGTGAGGAATGATTGGAGGTCGGTCGGGTAATATTTCTCCTCCGAGTGAAGATATACGATTGGAGCTGTATGATTTTAGAAGACATTCTTTTCTTAGAGAGAAAGAGAGAGATAACTCACCATACTTCAAGACATAGTCAGGCACACCACTCGGTGCTTGTCTCTTTTCTTGTGAGAGAGGTGCTCCGTTCACCAAGGACACAGCGACTGTCACAACGGCAATGAGTGATGTCAAACCCATGATGTCTATGTTTCTGATGGACAAAGGAAGACAACCAGGCCTGTATTGAGCGTCGTCATGGCGGTTATCTTATATGATCTCTGCACCTCTTGCACACAAGACCCATTCAGCTGAGTGAACTCCTTTAGCCCGTCCTTGCAGTGCCTTGCATAGATGTATTGTCCCCCTACTATCGCCTCCACACACACCTCTTTACATGCAAGTTCCACCCATCTATGTGTGCATATGCCCTCGCTGCATTCTCATTCGCTGACTTTGTCCAGATGAGCATCTCGGCCCTACCAATAAACTAAAGACGCAATCACACGTGGAGACCTGAAGAAAGCAAACGGCAAATAATCGGGTCCCATCCTACTCGTAGTGACAAGCGGATGTGGCGTGCATGGTTGGCCGCCATGTGCGCGGGCCCTAATGCAAGGCTGGTGGCTGTATGTGGCGATCTCAGCCCAAGGATGCAGCGACTTTGATAGGGCAAAGGCGTAGCCGATGGATTAATGAAGCGCGAAAAGCATGTCCACGTTAGGAGCAGGCGATTTCCGAGCTGAACTGTGGCCAAGAAACTCGCTGTGTGTTGCCTTTTTGCGCATAAGGACCGCCGACGTCTATTGCGCCTGAAAAAAAAAGACAAAGGGGTGTCTGCAGGAGCTGGGTCTGGTGACTGTATGGCGCTCACGAGCGAAACGAGAATCTCAGATGTGGAGTAAGCAGGAGTAGTGATAGCCGAACGGTGTGACCTTCCCAAATAGGATGGCGAACAAGAGGAGAACTCTGCCTTGTGATGCCCCTGAACAGTCGTTCTGCGCGCATGCACTAGGTATCCCATGCTCACACATCACACTGCAGCATGGCTTTACCGAGAGCGAATCACTTTACACGTGGGGGGAAGCAGTGTTCAAGAAAGGCTTGATAGTTAAGACACAACAAGAAGCTACAAACCTTTTCCGTAGTCTTTGGAACTATCTCGTGCTGTAGAATATATGGTACAATCAGCTACTAGAATACAAAAGTCCGTGCATACTTGCGATCCATCTCTTCGTACTCTTCCTTCAGCATCTTGCTTCTCAGTTTGTTCAGCCTGAGTGTGACGCCTTCTTCCTCGCCTTCCAGTTTCTCCACTTCCTCATCTAGCGTTTTAGTCCCTTTGACTTTCCACATCAAACTTGCCAAACCTCCATTCTTTGCCTTATCGCGCTTCTCCCTAGCTTCGGCAGCAAGATAAGTCATGATTTTTCCCCAGGATTCCAGGCCAACCTCCTCGCACTTTTCACATTTCTTGCGAAGATCATCATTAGAGCGTATAGCACCTAGAGATTGCGCAACCTTGGAAGTTGAGACTCCGTCACGGACCCAAGAAAGGCCCTGTTGACGCTGGGTAGAAGATGACCCTGCAGTCGCGAAGAGTATTTCACCAATGTAGTTCTTAAGCGCAGCTTCCTCACAGCGGTCACTTTCTTTGCGCAGAAAAGGTTCGTCTCCGGAGGACGGAACCGGAGGGTAATCTGGCTCGCGGAGAAGACTGACCAATGTGCCTACCAAACTTGAATCCTTTCGTGGTGCAATGGTGGGTATACGCGCCTCGTCTGCGCCGATACGAGCCCGGAGTAGAGACACAAAGATTGGTAATGCGGATGCGATTCTTCTTTGCTCAGCAAAGAATATAGCCAGGTTTGTAGCAGCATAGACTGCATTAGGTGTGATTGAGTTCTTTGGTGCGGTGGAAGATAGGACACCAGTCTCTCGATCAATGACTGTAGAAGGCTCTGAGGTTGGGAGGCCATCGATGGCAATATCTAATGCCCATCTGTACATCTCTTCAGCAGAGTCTGGCAGCCTTCGGAAGCTGAGCCAGTCGGCATACCCCAAAGCAGCGGACAACCTTTGGTATGTAGTGAATCCCTTGGATGTGATGATCTTGAGGTAGAAGGACTCGGGCGCTTCAGCAGCTGGCACACGATGCTCTTCGTCAGGTACTTCTGGCATTCCAGGAAGCACAGCCTTCGGTCGCGGATTTGTGGCGGATGGAACGAACTCTGGTGCCCAGACATTCCTTCTCCACTTGTCTGTAACCCATCCATCCAGTCGCTCTGCGGCACTGGCCATGCCCATGAGTACCTCGTAATAGCCTTGCCGCCATTCATCGCTTTTTGCCGATATATCAAAGCCTGCCTTGCCTACTCCTGGAACCAGTATTCCTCCCTCTTCTTGTTCCGCAAGACCAGCTCCGTCCTTGTTTGGGTTCTCCAGTCGATTCAGCGCATATTCCAGCTCTGAGTAGACTCGGGCCCAATTCGGAAACCCCTCTTCCTCGTTGTTTTCCGGAACCTGCCACCACTTTCCTCTCCTAAATCTGAATCTTGTGATCAGACTCCATTCATGTGGCGACGGAAACGCCCGCTCTTGCTGTTCGCTCAGTATGCCCAAACTTGCAATACTGAAGCATGACGTAAGGAGGAAGATGAGTATGCTGTATCGCACACTCAGTTTCGCAGTCTCTTTGATGAATTTCTTATGGTTCGCGCTGATGGAGAATAGACGCTGGAGCTGGCCGTTGGAGAGGTGCTGACCGGAGGGGTATAGGAACGGGAGTTGTGGCCGCGCAGAGCCCTGGTGGGCAACGAGGAATTGGCGGGGGTGCCTGTAGGAGAATTGGCGCGGACAAGGAGGATTGGGCGTGTGGTTTCTCGGGGGCTTCAAAGCGCCCCGTGGCAGCTTTGCCAGATGCACCGGCGGCCGCATTGTGGTTTGCAATTGCTTTGCCTTTTCTTGAGATGTTCTTTGCGGCCATCCGTTGTTCACGCGCCAAGACGGCCCTCGCACTCACCGCCCGGCAGAAAAAGTTCAAGGTCTCGGAATTTCGTTTCGCGACGCTACAGCATTTCTCCAACATTTTTGCGCCGCCATCATGTCTAAGTCCAAGGTTGACAACGTTGAAAAGAAGCGCAAGCGCGATACCGAGGTAGCAGAGGATGTACCTAAGAAGTCCAAAAAGTCCAAGAAGGTCGAAGATTCCCAGGATGCGCCTGCAGTCGAAGCTGTAGAGGTGAAGAAGGAAAAGAAGGAAAAGAAAGACAAAAAGGATAAGAAATCGAAGAAGGACAAGGATATTGTAGAAGCGCCTGCCACTGAAGACGCTGTAGAAGATGCAAAGAAGGAGAAGAAGGAGAAGAAATCCAAAAAGTCCAAAAAGTCCAAGGATGTCGACGCCTCCGAAGATGCCCCCGCAGAGGAGGCCGCCCTCATCGATAAGATGAAGAAGTCCGAAAACTTTATCAGCGTCAACGACGACGAGCCAATGCCCGACGCGACTGATGCGCCAGCCAAGAAGGACAAGAAGAAGGAGAAGAAAGAAAAGAAAGACAAGGAGCCGAAAAAGTCAAAGAAGAGCAAGGATGAGGCCAAGATCGAGGACACGCCTATGGAAGACGCTGCCGAGGAGCAAAGTGGCACAGCGGAGCCCGCCCCGGTAGAGACCAATGGTGCAGATACTGAATCCAAGTCCGAGAAGAAAGAAAAGAAGAAGGACAAGAAGGAAAAGAAGGAGAAGAAGGACAAAAAAGAGAAGAAGGCAAAAAAGTCTGAGGATGCAGAGATCAATGGCGAGACTGCTGTCGAAACCAATGGAGAAGCTCCAGCCGAAACCAATGGTGAAGCTGCCGCTGAAGATGCAGAAGTCACCGAGGAAGTAAATGCTGAGGAGGCAGAGGAAGCCGAGGCTGCAGTTGAGGCCAACCAAGGTCGCTTCATCGTTTTTGTTGGTATGTATAGTCATGCACCCACGCTGCGAGCTCCCAGTTAACAAACAATCGCCAGGCAACCTCCCTTACTCTGCAACAAAGGAGCAAATCGAGAAGCATTTTGAAAAGATTAAGCCCAGCGAGATCCGTCTACGTACATACAAGGGTAGCGACAAGTTTATGGGCACATGCTTTGTTGAGTTCGATCGATTTGATCGCATGGTGACGTGCTTGAAGAAGTACCACCACTCCGTCTTCCCTGACCCCAAGAAGAAGGAGGGCAGAAAGATCAATGTTGAACTTAGGTATGCCAATCCCCTCCCTAAGCCCTTCTCAGCACATCAGCACAAAAGCTAACAAACCGAAATAGTGCTGGAGGCGGCGGCAACAGCGAAGCCCGCAGATCCAAAATCGCAGCAAAGAACGAGAAGCTCCACGACGAGCGCGCCCGCGACCGCGTCAGGAAGACCGAACTCGAAATGAAACAAAGCGAACGTAAGCAGAAGAAGGAGGCCAAGTCTGGCAAGAAGGGCGAAGATGCTGGTGCTGAGGAGGCTGAGGCGCCGGAGAAGCCATCTGAAGCTGAGACTTTTGGTATGAACCCGGCTCGTTTGGCTATGATGCAGGGCCCGCAGCGGCCAGCGCACCGGTCGAGGTATTAGACTCTGGAGTCATGTTGGATAATTTCGAGAGTGATTATGTGAAGACATAGGGGGTTGACGATTTGAAAAGAAGGGGAATTTGTTTCTTATTGCATCGTACCTGCTTGCAATGCCAATACTTTAGATAGATGGCGGATAATGAATGAAAAAGCTGGAGTAGTCAAGTCAGCCAATTGAAGTGTCTTGTTGTTTTGAAACTGTCAAATTGGCTCTCTAGGTGTTCTGGCAGTAATTCTCGTATGCCTATAGCTAGGTAATACATATGCATCGGGGACCGATGAATGTGCTACAGGGATCCTCAGCATGCCGGTGCACGGACCAAAGGGTCCACCAACCGCGGTCCCATCGCAACTTTTTTGTGACGCTCTCCAGCAGACTCCCCGCGCCATTGCTTTGCAACCTCCGCACTCCTTTGGAAAATCAGACCATAACTACATCCCTCTTTCCACGACGTCAATTGTTCAATCACCAACCAAATCCGAATCCACGCATCCAACTTCACAACCCACCTCGGGAGTCCGCAACGCAACTCGGAAATGCACCACTAAGCCTACACCACTTTCTCCCCGCGCAACTCACAGCACCACCATACCAATGGAGACCCTAAGAAATCTCCCAATCATCCGAAGCATGATGCGCCCACCCACCGCACAACCTCCACCACCTCCCGCACCCTCGGCGCCCTCCCCTCCTCCACCCCCACAACCTCCCACTGAACCCGCATACCAACGCCCGCCCATAACCTCCCCCCGCTCCCTCCACCAACTCTCCATCTACCTCCTTGGTAGCACCTGCCTCCTCCTCAGCACAACCCTAACCCGGCGCGCCATCCACCGGCGCCATCTACGCCTCACGCCCTCCTACTTCGCTCCAAATACCAACCCACACGAGTACTTTAGCCCCTTCGCCGACGCGTGTCAGGCATTCAACCTCGCCACCATGAACTGCGCGAGCGTGGGGATAATGATGCTAGGCGGTGTGATGTGGGTGAGTGACATATCGAATCTGCAGGAGGCGAGGAAGGTGTTGAGGGGACGACTGGGGTATGAGCGGATTTACGAGAGTGAGGAGGATGTCCCGAATTCGATTTCGCAGATGATTCTGCAGGCGGGGGAGGTTAGGTTCAAGGAGGAGGAGGAAGAAGAAAGTGGGGAGGAGAAGAGGAGGAGGTGATGGAGCTAGGGATGTTGTGTATACGATTGTAAGAATATGAGTGTATGATAATGGATTATGAGCGAAGCGATGTTATGGGATATGAATTGATCGTGAAGGGGAATGCCGGGACGCTGTGAGTGTTTGCAGCTGAGTAACGAAACTTTGATTTTTTTTTTTTACGACGATGCATGCACAACGACTTTTGGCTCCTTTGCACATACATACGACAAAGATGCACACAGCTCATTGTTTTCTCGATCCCCCTTCCCTTCCCAACTCGTTGAATGAGATCCACTCCCCCCCCCCCTAGTATCAAACTGACTGAACTTTATCCTCGCTAAGCCTCTGCTTTCCTCGCATTTAATACACCGACTTTATCCCTTCATTGAAGGTTTGGGGGGGGAGGGGGTTTCTTTTTCGGAATTTCGATTTAAAGTTTCGCCGATTCCTGCAAGTCTTTTGTCCATGTATTTTTCTTCTTCTTCTTCTTCTTCTTCCAAGACCTTGAAATAGATGTTTTTCCATCGAAACTGCAAGGCAACATCCATATGTGTATATATATATGAGATAATGTTGTATTGGGCCAATACAGTTTTACATTCTGTTGGTGTATTGAATGGCAAAGGGGCATCCGGGGCCAGAACACGTGGGCGTCAATGGCAAATAGCAAGTATGAGAACTACGAATCACGATTAGTGGCACTCCTCCAGCTATGACTTGAGTCATGTACTGCCAGAGTTGTTCGTAAATTGTGGCGACCTGGACACAAATGCCAAACCTGCTTCATTCTGACAGTGGCTGGACAAAGGTCATTTCTTTGCTGTTAGTTGCAAATAGGACATAAAAGATAAAGAAGGCACATATAGATCAGAAAACTGGTATCAACTACATGGCGACTGCGCAGCCAAGTTTTAGAAAAAGACAACATACGTGCAATAGTATCGTCAACTTTGGTGCCGCATAACCACCGACTCGGTCTTGAAGCAAACTGGGGAGGTCCCTCTGACGTACCAGCTCACTGAGCGGTTTACAGCATAACTAATCCAATACCACCCATATGGTCCTTGCTCGCCTGGTTCCTCGAGTCGATGCCGCCAGGAATTGGCGCAGCACGATAGTTGTAGAAGTAGTAGTGTAATGATCCATCTCCAGCACCAAAGCGTTGGTCTTCCAGGAACAGTGGGTTATCGAGTAGCGTGAGGGCGTTGAAGACGTCGAAATCAGCCTATCTGTGTTAGCTGACCATCCAAGTTGCGTAATATCAGCGTGCTTACCTTCTTTGCCAGGATGAGCGCATCCTTCATCAGCAAGTTCAACCGTTTCTTCAACTCTGCATTGTCCTTCTCAAACGCAACCTCAGTACCATAGTAGAAGAGGTACGCTGCCTTGATGGTGTCGTGCTTCTTGTTGCCAATAACGGTACTCTCAAGGTTGTAGAAGGAGAAGTAGTCTGTAATCTTGTGAGTATCGGGGTCCTCGACGACGTAACTCCACACGACCTGCTCCTTGGGCTTTTCTTTTGGTGCCATCCAGTGCTCGAACTCAGTTTTATCGAATACTTGAGCCATATCCATGCGCTCAAGATATCGCTGCAGGAGACTGAGAGTTGCGTCAACATCTTTAGCCTCCATTTCGCGAAGTCCGGGGGTAGATGTGGTGTCTGGCAACTTGTATCGGATGATCTGGCGTTGTTTGGTGCTACCGTGGGGCAGGGGAGAGAAGCCAACATCGTACAGCTTTTCCCAGTTGATGGCGCGATGGAAATATCTGGCAGTGGAAACGGGAGTGGGTAATAAGGATCCAACAGTGTATACAGCCTGGAATGTACCTTCAACGTAGCAGCGGCGGGTAATTTCCTTGATGAGCACGGGTGCTAACCGCTTCGATCGGAGCTTTTTGTGGACGCATAGGAAGTTGACTTCGGAGCAGTTGAGAACCTTGTCGCGTACTCGCATTTGTATCGGGATGCCGGAGATGAATGCAACCAGCTTCCCTGAGGCAGTTGCGCGAACACCAACGTGCCATTCCTTCTTCCAACCGGGTGCCTTTAGAGCCCTATAGCTGTTAGCTTTGAGTTTGTTGTCTACTGTTGCAACACTCTTACCAGTTCAAGAATGAAGGCGAGTATTTAAAGCGGAAAGTCGCATCCTTGTCCTCGACATAGTGGTTGGTGAGCAGCTCGTAGACTTCTTCCAGCTGCTTCTCTTGTTCCAGATCCATAGTCACCCATTCAAAGCCGGGGTACATGGGACTTGGGTTCTTGTCGACTTTTTCAATATCAATCTCTTTGATTGGCCCGTCCTTGATCTTGTCCTTGTTTGCCATCTCGTCGAAGCTGGGAACGGGCTGTGTCTTCCAGAATGCGTGGCTGGCCATGTCTTTTTGGCTGCCTTGTGGCGCCAGCCCAGTGAGCATCTCGTTGAGGTTGAGCGTTTGGAGCAACTTCTGCAGGTCCTCCTTGTTGTTCACCTTGCCCTGGAGTTCATTCGCAAGCGCAGGATTGTTTGCGAGCAGCATGTTCATAGCTTCCTTGGGCAGAATTCCTCCAGCGGGCGCGTTCAAATCTGTGACCTCGCCCGCCTTTCCCTTGCCGCTGAGCGCATCCTTTATTTTGTTCTTCTTACTCTTCTTTTTCTTTCCAGCTGCTCCCTCGGTTCCTTCCGTTTTTCCGGTCTCCTCGTCGCCGCTTTCATTTGCAGACTCGGCCTCTGCTTGTTTGCTCGATTCGGCGACTGCTTCGGCGGCTACTTTGGTGTCGGCGTCGGGGTCGGACACCTTGGAGGCTTCCTGAGGCATATTTGGAGAATTGGAGAGGTTGTGGGAATGCAGCAGTAACAGGCGTGGCGTGGAGGGTGTGTGGCTGCTGTCGTGTCAATTGGTAGCTCAGGAACAGGCAATTGGCGGCATTGCGTAGGTGGGGCATGGCGGGGTACGTAGGACAGCCCTGCCCTGATCGCCAACGCCATTGTTGGCACCTGCTTTGAACGCCTACCAAGTCGAATTACTCGAGCGTCCTAATATGCAGGCCATCGTATCTGCAGACCACATCTATGTCAATACGCACGTGACCATTTTGGAAATCTTGGTACTGCCTCTATTCCATACTGAAGAACCAGACAATAAACATGGTGTTGGTCTTTCGTCCATCGCTTGAAACTTGGGATGCATGCAAGTAAGAAAACCTTGATTTAGAGTTCCTTATCTACCGCTAATATACATATGTCGATGCGAATCCGTTGCCAATCTTATATCTCCGTCAGAAATGACAAACTTAAACCAGGAAGAGCAGGGCACTAAACAAGGCCGGTATGATTCTTGTCGACCACATGTTTCGCGAGATTGGAGTGTAGTTGCATAGAACCTCTCAGTACAATATCGAATTACAGCAGTAGTATCGAATCACTGAATGCGACACTGTCGTGTAGTCAAATCAAACCCATCAGTCACAACCACCCATCTCCACACACTGATACACCCCACAGGAAGCACTAGGTTAAGTAATCCTCCAAAACCTTTGCCTTCTTTTCCTTCCGAAATAGAAGCTTCTGTGTTGGTTGAATGAGTGCGGTATGCAGCGTGGAAGTCATTTTGGTTAGTGGGAGTGAAAGTGAAACGGGGAGGGGGGGGGTGGAAGGGACGAATGAAAGGCATGCGCGCCCGCCAGATATGTAGTTGGATGAAGAAGACGACAACAGGATAGCTTCTTCAAGAATATTATTGTTGCCTGAGTCTGCATTGCAATCCGTGGATGAAGGGGCGTGTGTGTATATCCATGTGTTGATATTGCACCAAGATAGAGTTTTGACATCTGCCGACTATGGTTTTCTTGGCCATCTCCCCAATCTCCTAGCTTCCTCACACATCAAAATACAAGCACTGCGCAGAGAGGCATTTATTGTTTGTACAACTTTTCCAATTGGAGTTTGTATTCAATGCAGTATGCTACTTAAAAATCCTTCCTATGCTACTAGATCAAGACTGCTTTTTGCAACTTCATCTTAGGGTATATCCAGTGGTACAAAAACATTAGATCCAGTCCAAGGGTCATGACAAACGTCCACAGGACGGGTATATGGGGGAAACGTTCTTTAAGGACAGTAGATGAAGAAGAAGGCCACTTGTGTGCTGCCGTAGGCGCACTGGCTCAGATGTTGTTACACAAGATTTGACAAAAATGAAAATAGGGGGGTCGGTCGGTAGGGTGGATTGAAAATGCAAAAAAAAGGGTATCGCTTAGTAGATAACGCAAAATGTTGGGAATGAGCAGACGTTGAGTCACGATGCTCAAGAGGTGGATGGGGAGGGAGGTTTTGCTTGTATCGTAGTTCCATTTCCAAACTTGATGGTGAAATCCACCATGTTCAGTTCGAATAGGCCGACGTCGACGGTTCCAGATTTAGCATTGCCGTTACGATTGTCGGTGAGTAGGGTCTGTATGGATTCCTGTGCGTTGGCAGCAACGTCTAGACTACGACTTTCCTGAAGCGCAAATAGAACAGCGATACGGCCAAGATCAAGCGCATCGACATTGCTGGAGATGGGCTGGATGACCAAAGCATTTGTGCCACCCGAGTTCTGGTTGCCAGAAGCTCCGTTCTGCCTGCTCTGACCGACCGTCTGGCGCTTGACTTGTTGACCTGGGATTTGCGCAGGGCGGGGGTGATGGAGAGCTGACAGTGTTCGTGAAGGATGGAATGTCGTCCGCAAATCCATGGAGTGCACGTGCTGGGGTACAGATCGAGAGGCCAAGCCGTTGAATGTTATCAAGGCGTTCTCGGCTGCGCAGCTCAGAGAAAGAGTTGAAAACAGTGACAGGATAAGGGTTGCATTGAGGGGCACGTTGAAGTTAGTTGGGGCTTCTTCCATCAGGCGTGGGATACCGGAGCCCATGGTAGCGTTGTTCGCCGTGCCTGCAATACTGGTGGTTGTGCATCCAGTAGCATCGTTATTGGTGCACGTACGTCCTGTAAAGCCGTTGATGCAGATACAACTGCATGACATGTCCGAGTTGAGTATTGCAACACCTTGGTTTTGACAGGTGATGGCACCAGAACATTGACTATTCCCTGCGCCGGCTGTCGGAGCTGGAATGGCCACACCATTTGTGGTGCTTGCACCGCCGTTACCATTGTTGCTTCCTGTGTTATCTTGAGCAGCGCTGGTACTAGCCGCCCTGTTCTGGTTGGGGATGACGACCAAGACAACTGGGATGACGACTGCTGCAGCGATGATGAAAAGCAAAACAATTAGAAGTGTGATAAATGTCCATAGTGGCATGCCACAACATCTTCGGCGCTTCTCCGGTTTCTCGTTCTTGGTATCATTGTTTACGAAGGCACGGTCTGAGTTTCTGACCGAAGGCCAGTCAGAGTTGCCACCATTGCTGGCGTTTGGAGTAACCCAACCTGAACGAACTGGGGTTTCCTGGCCAGGTGGAGGAAATGCTGCAAGCATTTCAGATAGACCAGACTGACGCCCATTATTCTTTTCAGGGGCACCGCTTTCCCAAAAGTCCATGCCTAGGCGACTAGCTGTACGCCCACGGTCGAGATTAGATGCGAGTCGTGTCGCTCTCCGAATCAGATCCGGCAAACTTGTTAGACTACCACGCGCTTCAGCGTCACGAACAGCATCCATGTCAAGTCTCGGAGGCCGTCGTGCGGCAGCGCGGTCTCCCAGCGCGATTGGGCGTAGTTCTTGTTGAAGCGGCGACGAAGTCCCTCCAGCTCCGGACTTCATTCTGAATGTTTGCAGCGTGCTTGTAGATTCCGACGAAGTCGACCTGCTCAAAGGCGACCTAGCCCTTCCAGGAGAACCATCTCTTGATGAAAACGCCGCTGCACCCAGTCCCATTGCAGCGATCCCGAAAGCATCCGTCCTTGGTTTGTTCGGGCCACTCTTCTTTTCACCGGAAGGTTCCACGGATCTGATAGTCATGAGCGATGGCTTGGTTCGCCTACCCAAACTAGCTTGTCGCACAAGACCCGGTGAAGGCTGAACAAGTCCCCTTTGGTCGTCATGCTCGCTGGCGGAGAGGGTATCCATGTTACTATCGATTGTTCCTTCTTCGTCGGAAAAGGGGTCGTCGTCTGGGTAGAAGGCATCTGCGTTGCTTGGAAACACGTTACTCGATGCAAAAGAACCTCGTTGCGACTGAATTGCTGTAGAATGTGACTCTGATTCCTCGACAATGGGTGACACGTAAGACATTTGTGTGTAGTATGATGAAGGTCCTCTTCGCGCAGAGGGTGGCGGGCCTATACTTGGAAATCGCCGAGCTTGTTGTATGTTTGGCATGGGCGGTTGGGGGACGGGGAAATCGGGTATGGATCCAATCGAGGAATCGGACGCAATAGATGACGTGGTGATGGGACGCGAAGAAGACTGAAAAGACCCCGGCGAGAGGTTGTCGTTGCGTTGTGGGAAACCCATGGAAAGTGGAGAGTCCGTGTCTGGTGATAATTGCTGAATTGGAAAGTCTTCGGACAGGGGGCGAGGGTCTTGTCGTGGTGCCCGAATCCTTTTGGGCGAACGTGGCGGAAGGTCAGGAGGGGGATCTACCCTCTCGGTTCTGCTGCTAGGGAGGGGCCATTGTGGTGACGGAGAGCTCGACTCTATCTCATTTCTGGTGTCTGGCACAACCCTTATTGGTGATGGACCAGCCTTCCCCTGAGAATATTGCGAGACGAGTTGGTTGGGTCGGCGGGGGAGACCGATGATTTTTGAAGTGTCTGGGAGCTGTGTCCTCTTTTGCTCGGCCTGCATTCTTTCCCGAGCAGCCCGCACTGAGCCCGGCTTCGAATCTCCATCTCTTTCTGGGTCCGTCGCACGGTATGCTCCGGCGCCCAATCTCGGGTCGTAACTCATGAATTGAACGTGGAAATGCTGACGGCGGGTGTGTCAATCGACACTGGCCTGCTGTGGATCGACGATGCGCAGCGCGAAGCTCCCAGGTTGAGATGGGGAGTAGTGAAAGTAAGTAGAGGCGATGACGGTAGTCCGGACAGGCCGTCGAGTTGTGAAAGGAGTTGATTACAGGAATGGCTGCGCGACCACTGAGGCATATGCAACTGCGGCAGGACGGCCAATGGCCAGTGCGAACATGCAAGGTGCACAGTGGTCAGTTAGAGTACTTGCTGTTTGAGTGATGGACCAGGCAAGTTTACGAAATAGCCCGGTACGATGGTGGATGAAGGTGACAGCTGGGAACGAGAACGAACGATTCGAGACAGTGGAAGGGCGCGAATCCTTGCTCAGCAGATAGCCGGTTACCAGAAGGCTTGGTGAGACAAAGACTTTGAGATTGGCACGATGGAAGAATGCTCTGTATCAGACATCGACAGGCCTAGAGGAATGCAAGTCAGAAGAGGCTGCTCGCATGAGAAATGTTACCCAAGCAGGCCTGCCAGGGCGGCGCAAACAAGAAAGTCGACGATAATGCACAGTACAACAGGGCTGCTATGAACAGCGAGTCCATGCAGTCCAGGCTTCGCACGCCTAATACGAACACGGCGGAAGCCCAGGCAGGCAGGCACAAGACGATGTGACGTTGTCCGTTGCAGGCGCGTGGCGCTGATCCCAACCGGGTTTCAAGAGGCAAAAAATCCATGTACGTACCGTGAGAGGTGGTCGGACGAGCGCAGTCCGCAGTCTAGGCAATGGGAATGCGAAGATGGTGTTCTTGGTGACTGGTCATGGGGTGGGCGCGCAAAAGTGGTGATGATGATGGTGGTGGGCAGGCCGTTAGGCTAATATAAGACGCATGCATATGGGTTTGTATGTACAGGTGGTAAATGCGGAGGCTAAGCTTCGCAACGGCACGGAAAGAAAGAGAGAAAAAAAAAGAAAGAAAAAAGGCAAAGTCGATGGGGTTCAAAGGGAGATGGCTAGGTCCAGGTAGTTGAATGAGCGTCGAGCTCGCGGAAATGGACGGAGAGGAAGGCCCGGGGTGAATGGAAAAAGCGAGGGTGGGTAAGAAGGGACAAGGCGAGGCAGTCGAGGCAGCGACGGTGTGTCTCGCGACTACAGAGACTTTGGCAGCGGAGGGGGGGGTGGGAAAGCAGCCAGGGCTGAGGGTGGGACAGGCAAGGTTGGCATGGTTCAGAGTTTGGGCGCACTGACTAGAAGAAGTGTGTGGTGCAGGAAGCGAAGACGCCACTGCATCCGCGGTCGGTTCAGGGGTCTCGGAGGTCGTCACTGGCGACGGGGTGCAGCATGGTGCGACAGGCACGAGCGCACATCCTCCCGTCTAGGGAATGAGGTGGCGAGGGTCCCCGAAGATGGGCCATACAAAATGACGATGGGCCAGAGATAATAATAATGATAGTAGGCCCAGACAGCCCGCGGACGTAAGCCGCGAGATGGCGCTAGGCCGCTGCCGTTAAAGTAGCCCTGTTCCATGAGGCTGGCACGGGGCCGTGGCCGTATTTTGGGTCGTGGTTGTTGTTGTTGTTGTTGTTGTTGTTGTTGTTGTTGTTGTTGTTGTTGTCGTTGTTGTTGTGATGGTGGTTGTGGTGGTGGTGGTGGTGGTGATAATGGTGGTGATGGTGGTTGGGGACCCTGTACCTGCAGAGTAGGCATACGCGTATAGTACTCCGTATAGACAACTGCCGCAATGGCGCGTCCACTAGCAGCATTGTCTAACCATCCAGCCAACCAAGCCCAAGAATCCGTCTCGACAATCGTCTTCAGCCAAGACGGCCCTTTTGGGCTCTATCGCCTCGGAAGGCGCTGTTTTGGTGCCAGCCGATGCGCCCGCTGCAGGTGTCACGAAGCCTTGCTGCAAGCCATCTGATCGAGTGAACGCTGCGTTAACACTACGTCGCTATTAGCAGTTGCGTGCTCAACACACACGTTGGTCGACAGGCCGGACGATTCAAGGAGCCATTGTATCGGGGAAGCAGCCAAGAACAAGACTGAGCATCTTGCCATATTGTCTGCCGGCTGCAATCAATGCGAAGTCATGGCATACTACATGGCATATGGCACGTAAAGTATTGAATGCACGGTGCTTGGTCCCCGCCCGTTCTGGCTCGCCTTAGTGACATGCAGGCGGGTGCACGTGACACGGCAAAGAAATTGTCTCCCTCTACTGCTACTACGCGACAGCGCAAAGAAAACAACAGGGCAAGCAAAAAGAAACGGTGACGCTATTGATTCCGGCATTGCTAAAAAAAAACATATAGCCACGCCCGTCTTGGCTGTGGCTGCTTGCACTGTGTGCTTAGTACGACGTCATTCATCACCATCACTACCACCAGCAGTGTCACGGCGATCAAATGCTCGTAGCCGACCGCTCGCGAGTGCTGCATTGTGAAGAATGCCATGTACGCGCCTGTCCCACTGCACCGGTAGCAGCAGTTGCAACAACAATATTAGCAACAACAACCACAGACCTGGCCACTGTATCCCGTAAGCAGGCACGACGGGCGGTGGCACCATGCAGCGTCCTTGATCAGCCATCATGCCGCGTCCCACGGCTCATGTCGAGCCCGAGTCATCTTTCATGTAACCGAACCCCCACGAGACGTTTGCCATTGACAGGAAAAAACAGAAATCCTACGAGTGCTGCTGCTGCTGCTGACTACTAGCCCACTATCCACCATGACTTCATCGTCCCGAGTTCGTCATAGAACCTCTCTACCTACCAGCCTCACATCCTTTGCCAGCCTCTTTAACTTTACCACAGGCAATTGCAGTGGTAGACTCAGTCGTGCTCACCAGCACCGACACTGATAACATCAGCACACCTGTAACACCCGCCGACCGCTTCAGAACTCGGCCCTTGCGAAACGATAGCGCGGAATCCTCTCTCGATGCAGCTGCTGCTTCACCGAATCGCGCATATGCACATCCGTGCCCGCACCACGACTCCGCAAATTACCCAAATGCCCTTCCCAATACACCACCTCTCAAGCCAGCAGAGTCACGCTCTAGGCCCGTCTCGCCCTTGGGGTTAGCTAATGTCCGCATTCGTCGCTCCCACCACGGCTCACGACTGCTTCAGTCTCCCGCGCGTGCTGGCCATGCCGCACGTATGAGGCAACTTTTTGAAGATGCTAGCCATGAACAGCAAACACTGCAGCCGTCACATTTGCCATACCCACAGTTGCCAAACATTTCAGCAAAAGCATCGTCGCCGCTAGCACGACGTGGCCACGTGCACAGCCATTCGCAGCAAGCTACTACATCCCCCATTCGCCGACTAGAGTCTCTATGCATAGCAACAACGTTATTGCCAGGCCCTCCGCCAGGTTTCGCAAAAACGTCGCAACAGAGTTCTCAGTCCTGGTCCGACGATTCCGGCTACCTGATTCCAGGCTCGCGCAATAAACCCAACCCAAAGTCTATCCGCGCCTCTGTGCTTGATGACCGCATCTCCAGGTGGCTCACTGGTGTTTCAACGCCAAACGTCCATGAACCTTATGCCAAGCTTCCCCAACCAAATACGTATCCCAAGCCGCAATTCTGTCAGCGCCCGTCCTCGAATCTCAGTGAAACGGCTTCGAGAAGCGGTCAAGAGGCGCTAGAAGCATCTTTAGCAGACACCGTCACCATACGCGATGTCTTTCATATCCGCACAGAGTCTACCATTCGCCTCGCAACACCACCCCAATTGCGTCCACGTGCTGCTAACAATCAAGTCTCGTTCCCTGATCCCGACATCCAGCTCAGCCCTCTAAGCCCAAACGTCTGCATCGAGCGCGGCCCCTCACGCTACCACTCCTCCCGCAACTTACACAATACTGCATCTCCCACCAAATCTCACTACGTATCCTCCAAGGAAAACGCCGCGCCTACTAATACTCCTTCTCACCATGCACAACGTGGTAGTGCCCAGGACTCCCCCTGTAAAATCGGCATCGGAACACGATTCCAGCACCCAAGTCACACGACCCATACCAGCCGCGAAATACGGACTCGACGTGTGGATCCGCAGAGCTCCGTCTGACAGACGGACGCATCCTCCATCTCAAAGAAGCGAGCGGGGGGATACAACGGATGCTGGGGTAAGCAGAAAAGCATAAAAGAGAGTTAATACAAAATTGGTACTTGTGTAATCATATCTTCATTACTATACCCACTAGCGGGTTCCCTGTACATTATTCAAATAAACAAAGCACCTTGGCATTACTTGCGTGGACAAGGTGGCAAATCCAATCCAATCCAATTAAATCAGAAAGGGCAAAGAGAAGAAAGAAAGACAAGAGAAAAAAAGGGCGGAAGGGGGGAGGGGAGAGAAATTAGTGCATTGTTTCCTCTCCGCTTATTCCCATTCTATATTACTTTCGTTTCCTCAAAACGAAAAAAAAATAGCGTAACTGCATAGCTAAAACCTAACTCAATCACGTCCTTTCACTTTCCACTCTCCCTTCCCCCGCAGCTGGGCTCAAATCCTCATCCCTCACCACCCTACAAATCCTGACCCTCGCTTTCCCTGCCCTCAGCACCAGCGCCTCCCAATCCACCAGATAATGCTTGGGATCGATTTCCTTGCCAGGCTCAATAGTCGCCCATTTGAGTGCAGTGGGGTTATCAACGGACCCCGAGTTGGGGACGATGACGTAGGCACCTTTTTTCGCAATGAGCCGACTAGCTTCTGAGCGCGAGGATGCGAGGCCAGCGGCGTGGAGGATGTGAGGGAAGGATCCTGGGGCGAGCAGGGACAGGGGCAGTAATGTGATGATTTCCTTATTGTCCGAGGGGGACGGCGGTGTCGGCGGAGGTGTTGCTCCGACAGAGTGGGTTGGGGACGAGGAGGAGGAGGAGCTGGTGGAAGCGTAGGCGCGCTTGTACGCTAGGAGGTCTTGTTCTTTTTGGGTGAGTGGGGACTCGGCACCCGAGGGTGAGGATGAGGAGGCGTCGGTATCCTTGCTCCTGGAAATGGCGGTTCGGAGAGAGAGCAGCGAGAAGGTGTTTGTGCCTTGGCTGAAGGCGTCTTTGTGGGCTGCTTCGGCTTTCTTTGCTGCGGCAGCGCCGTGGGCTAGCTCGACGATTTCGCGGGCCAGGATGTGCTGGGCGAGGCGCTTGGAGGGGTCTTGGGATTGCTGCGACATGAGCAGCGCGATGGAGTCAAGGGGGAGGAAGGTGAAGAGTTTGAGGTAGCGCTCTACGTCGGTATCGGCGGTGCGCATAAAGTGCTGTCGTACAAGTTAGTTGAGGAGTCCATTTGGTGTCGATGTAACGGATGTAAGTACCTGGTAGAGGTCAAACGAGTTCAGCATCTGGCCGTCGAGCCAGACAGCATTGCCAGCACTCTTGCCAAACTTCTCGCCAGAAGCGGTTGTAAGTAGCGGCGTAGTAAGTCCATACGTTGCTACGCGTGGGTCCTCTTCTGCCGCTCCGTCATCCATGCCATATATCTTGCGCATATGACTAACAGCGTTCATGCCCGCAATAATATTGCCATATTGATCCGAGCCACCAATTTGAAGCTGAACACCCTGGTTCTTATACATGCTCCACCAGTCGTAGGCTTGGAAGAGGGGGTAGCTGAACTCGGATATAGCCATGCCTTCACCGCTTTCCATCCTGAGTTTAACTCTAATGCATGTGTGAGAGAGCGAGCCTACACGATAATCTACCATGACTTACGAATCGCGACTGAGCATAGCGCCCAGACGCATACCTGAGCCCAAGTCCCTCATCAGTTCCACTGCGCTGAGCTTCTCGAGCCACTTGCGGTTGTTGAGAATATCTTGTTTCCGGCTCGTCATCTGCGAAAACTGGTGCTTGATACCCAGGCATTTGACATTGGTCCATAGCTTCTCAAGCTGTCGCTGTATGCTCTCCACATTCATGGATTGCACGTTCTCTGCCTGGCGCGAGCGTGCTGTCGTTCTGCCAGAAGGATCTCCAATCTGTACAGTGCCTCCACCCAACTAACTCATGATTAACAGCCATTGTGCGTGACGGATCGTGGGGAGCTCACCAAGCTCACGGTATAGTAGCCGTGCAGGTACATCCAGTACAGCGCCATCAGAGGGAGAAGATGGCCGACATGCAGAGAGGGTGCTGTGGGATCTACGCCAACGTATACACCAATGCGCTTCTCTGTGAGCAGCCAATTGAGCTCCTTGCGTCCGCTGTAAATTCTCAGTATAGTCCTGCCATGGCTGTCTTCTCCTTGCCATGCTCACCCAGCGACATCCTTGACAAATCCTCGCTCCTCAAGCACGCTCAACATGCTCTGCTGTATCCCCGCTCGCACCCTGCCCGCTTGCTCTTCCCATTGTGCCTGTTTGGTTGCTGGATCTGATTCCTCGTCCGCCCACCTCTTTGCTGGTCGCTCACCGCGCGCCAAAGTAGACTGCAGCCGTATGCATTGTCGACACACGAGGAACCGTGGTCTGGACAGTTGTCTCCAGGTTGACATGGCTGCCAATTGCACCGCATCGCATCTGGCCCCAGGTCAAAAATGTTCCGGCCTGCCAAGCGGGAGCGACTTCGACGCCGATTGGCTGAAGCTCACAGCTCCCTGCAGCTTCCCCGACGTCTCCGCATCCGCATTCATCCACATCCGCACACGTCACATGTACTGTCCTTGCGCATGATGCTACTACAGTTAGTGCCTACATGTACACCGTTGATCTCCTAGCTGCAACCTCAATCAAACATCAATTCACCCTCCTTGCCTTCATCTCTAGTTGCTTTGCTTGATCGTGTCTTGTTGTTCTGTCAATCCTACATCAAGCACAGCTTACTCTTGCACCTCACCTTGTGCTTTGCTTGTCCAGTGTAACGAATCCCACTGTTTTGCCACCATGTATGCCTCACTCACCTGCCATCCGCCCTTGGGCCAGACAACGACCATTTCTTCAGATAGAGACTCCGTGAGTTCAAGACTATTCTAAGTGCTGGACGTGGTTCTAACTTCCTGCTAGATCAAGTTCACAGTAGTCATTGAGACCTCTGTTGCCTCAGAAAAGAGC